TGCCAGTTGATGTTTTTAATTTTCAATTGTTTAGATTCACTTAAATGGCGACGCCACATGTAAACTGATCTACAATGGAAAACTAAGCGAAGCCTTTGAAGTGAAGACAGGAGTAAGTCAAGGTTATTTAATTCAATTTGGATTTTCCCATCGATTGATTGGACCGAAGTGCTCGCTCTCAGGTTAACATCTCGGCTTCTTGTGCAGATGCTTCAACAATGTCTTGTCATGTAAGTTGAAGCCGAGGTTGCCAACTATCATCAGTGATGTTCCCTACTGATGATATTAGACGGTTAGGGGCAATCAGCAGGAAGCCTCGAACCCAGGTTTAATGCTAGCTGACACTCTTCAACAAGATATTCTCTACTGTGGTGGACTGGATTATGCGGCAGACTGTGTGACGGAAGCGAGAAGATAGAAATACGCTTGGCCAATAAGAAGACTCTATAAGATTTACATGTGCGGATGATTTAAGTCTAATGTCACACAAACCTGAAGACCTACAGACGAAAACTCTCTGGTTTTCAATGGTTCTGCAATTATTAGTGTTCTCTGAGCTGGTTGGTTTAGTTGCGGAGCTTTCGTCGTCCTTCTGGACAACATCCCCTTTCAGCGCAATATTTACAATAAAGTGAAATGATTTAAATTTCTCATGAGTGATATAATTACGTCTCCTGGTAACCATCTTTACATATGTATTGACCACTTTCTATTGACTTGGATTTCAAACTTTCTGGTCACCTGATTTACTTTTTATTAGTTGGTGTATATTTCGTCTATATTAACGTGCTTGTTAATTGCATTTTCGTTTGAGTACCAGGCTTCTAGGAATTCCCTGGCACTTTTGGTGTTTCCTATGTCTAAGATTTTGACAATGTCCCAATCAAATTGATGACCATAATTGTCTATATGCATTGATACTAGAGAATATATATCGTATCTTTTCACGGCTGATTTGTGTTCTTCGATTCTAATTCGAAGGGGACGCCCACTTTGGCCGATCTAATGTTTGTTACAGTTCATACAATTTATTTTGTAAATGGTATGAATTTTATCTCCTTTTTCTGTTGGATCTTTCGGTTTGCATAATATCGAATTAAGCGATTTGACTGGCTTGTGTGCTATATCTATATCAAAAGGTTTCAGTATTCTAGCTGTTATTTCAAAGATATTTCTCATATATGGAAGGATGAATTTTCTTGTGGTCTTTGATGATGGTTTCTTGTTGGTGTTTTGATTCGACTTTAAACACTTTTTGATGAAATTTTGTGGATAACCATTCTTTTTGAAGACCGTTTGTGGGTATTTTTCTTCTATTCTTTTCAACTCTGGAGTACTACAATGAGTTTGAACTCTTTTAAACAATGTCTGCACACAGTTTCGTTTGTGAGTAACTGGATTATTGCTAGTATAGTTGAGTATTTCATCTTTGTGCGTTGATTTTCTATATACTTGTATTTCTAAATTTCCTGCGTTGGTTCTCCTGATTAAGACTTCTAAAAATGGGAGTTTGTTATCTAATTCTTCTTCTCTTGTGAATTTGATGTCTTCTAATATGTTGTTTATTAATTTATGAGTATATTCTAAATCACTTCTCTTAATTATTACAAATGTATCATCAATGTAACGTATCCAGATTTTCGGTTTAATTATAGGTAGAGCTATTAATTCTAATCTTTGCATAACGGCTTCAGCTATTAATCCTGATATGGGCGATCTCATTGTTTTTCCTTTTATTTGTTCACATATTTGAGTATTGAATTGGAAGTATGTTGTAAGGCATAATTTTATGAGTTCTGTCCAAGTTGAACATTGCGTTTTTTTGTTTTCATCACTAAAGAGTAATTGTTGCATAGTTTCTGTTGCTAGTTTTGGACTTATTGAAGTATATAATGCTGTGACATCAAAGGACACCATTATTTCATTGTCTTCTACTTGAATTTTTTTGATTTTCTCTAAAAATTGGATTGACGAACATTTGTTTGTAATCCCTACAACTTTCTTTTGTTTACTAAAGAATGAATTGCAGCTTACTCGCATTGAAATATAAATTTATATAACAGTCATGTGATAAATACTTTTGACAAACAGTTTTTTATCACTAAGATGAAAAAGGCGTCGCAGTATATTGTTGCTATTTAGCATTACCCTGATCTGAGATAAATAGTGAGAATTATTTGCTTATAATTATTCCTATGCAATATAAAAAACGTTCATGAGAGTAGAAAGTGCCACTGTCCATGAAAAATTATTATTATTATGTTTCCTTTAGTTTCTAGAGAAACATAGGACTTCAGCCGCACATCTCCATTGCGTTCGGTTCTCCGCCAACGTTTTCACCTAGCTCCACGTCTGTCCACATGCTTTCATCTCCTCTTCACATGACCTCCTCCATGTAACCCCCACACTGAAGACCAACTCACCGCTTCCCATTCGGGTTCCACTCAAGTGATGGCCTGGCGTGTGATGTCACTTGGTCTTCTCAGAGTATGGCTAATCCAATCCACCTCTATTCCTTCTTGCATATTTGTTGTACAATTGGTTCCTTCTGGGTTGGTTCGTTCGTTCATTGTCAGAGATCCCTGTTGCTTATCGTTTCTGACCATCTGATCTTGAGTACTGAGCGGAGACAGTTGTTGATGAAGATCTGTAGTTCGTTCGAAGTGTCCTTCGTGATGCGGCGCCAAGTCTCTGATCCGTATAGTAAGTAGCACTGACTAGATTTCACATTGGAGTTGGAAATCCGGTTCTTATTTTCATTTTCATGCTGAGTGCTGTTGATTTCCACACAGACTTGAGAGTAATGAAATGGCTTGCCTTGCTTTCATGATTCTCGCTGCTTTGATATCCTCATCAGTTCCGTCCGCCTGTAGTTGAAACGATGCTTCCCAGGTAGGTAGGCAGGTGGGTAGGTAAAGGAGATTGCTTCTTTCAGATTCCTCCATGAAAAATACTCAGCGTTTACGAAATACGCCTTACTACTTTTACTACTTTACAAGATGAAATTTAAAGTGTACTTCATGAGGTTATTTTGACTGATAGCGAGCAGGCCACCAAGGTTTATTGGATAATGCTTTTGTTTTTGAAACAATGACTGCATGGTTTGAATCTCAGGAGGAAAATCATCACTTACTAGAAATGTAGATACATCCAGATGACGAATGCTGAATAGAACAAAATGCCCGTCCTGGATTCTACTCCTAGTCACCTGCATCCAAAATAACACCTGCCAGACTATTGACTTCTCCCTTAGGCATAAACGAGATTTTCAAACACTAGTAAGTTCTCATGAAGCCTGTTGCATTGAGGGGACTAAAATTGAAACTAAGTCTAATGCAAAATACCTCGGTCTAGTTCTATCTTCCGACCTTACTTGGACATCTCATATCCTAACGATTTCTAAGAAAGTGTTCTGTCTAACCTACTACATTAAGAAACTTAGACAATCTGGAATCACCCAACCTCTACTTTCACAATTTGTCAACTCTTGTATCTTACCTATTCTACTTTACTGCTCCCCGTTAGTCTTTCCTGGGCTACTGAAAAAGGACTATACCATCCTGAGAAGGATGTTGAAGGTAGTTAGTAGGACTAGTGGTGTAAAACTCAGTCAGCTCGTCACTACATTAGTTGAAAGGCATCTGAATACATGCGAAAAATGGTCTAAAACCATACTCTCCGACCCCAAACACCCCCTCTATTCCCAACTCTCGCCTTGTATCTCATCAAGTAGAACCAGAAATCAGTATAAAATAATCTATGCTCGTACAACCAAGTACAGGAACTCAACGATACCATATTTGGCCCGTGTTCTAAGTGACAGAGACAATGTTAAGCGCGAAACCTATGACTTGCTTTGTTGTTAATAACATAATTTTAGGCTCTTTTATTTCTCTCTTATTTTGTATTCTATAGTGAACTCCTTCTTAAACATACTTAGCTACCTAAATTATTAACATTGGCTTACTTTTTGTACTTTACTGTATTTCCTTCTTTTGTGTATCTACTGGTTCCGACTATATTAGCACTATGAGTATTACAAAATTGTCCTGTCATTAACCATCATGTAATTATTAGTTTTCGTGGTTGTTTTTTTTATTTTTTATTTTTTTGGCAATATTAACTGACAATCATTGGTTGTGAACGCCATTGTCACCACCTTAAAATTTTGTATTATGCAAGATTATTCACACTACCACTACAAACACTGCATTAGACCTGACAATAAAAAACAAAACAACAACCCTGAAATGTTATTTTATGATTGTTTAGAGTTGTTTCAACCAAATTAACTGATCATCTTGGCGATAAACATTCTTAAATATCATTTCATAACTTCTTGTATGACTATAGCTTTACTGTCACCATGCATAATCATATCATAGCTTCCACTACCCAATACTGAGTTATTATTATATGTTGTTTATTTTCCTTTCTACTTCTTGGTATTTTTTAAAAATTATTTTGTGTTTTTCCTGTCTTTTTTTGCTGTTGGTGTCTTTATATTTATTTTTTTGAAATACTCCTTTTAAATGTTTGATAAAATTAGATGCAAATATTGTAGATATGTGCTGAAAATTCCACACTGTACCACTAGTACTGTTTCTGGAATAAAGCAAATTATTATTATTGTTATTATTATTATCAAGTTAGTCCTCAAACATTGTCAAATTCCCAGTACTACGAGCCAGTATGTCAACAGACATCGAGCATTTCACTTCAAAATAATCAATCAACGGGAAATGCACATTAACCCGAAGAACAAATGTAGTGTCTTTCATTTCACTTAACAGTTCTTTAATACTTCAAGATGAAACCAAGTATCAAAGTCTAAAACATTCTAAGAAGTACACAAAATACAGTGTAAAAGTCATATTTTTGTGTAAACCAATTAAATCGATTTCAACACAACCAATGAAGTACACCTTTCATTGACCAATCTTGTAACACTATGTATGGTATCATTAAGACTCTTGATCAACTATCAAACTCATAGAATGTATATATATATATAAATAAAAAAGTGATCAACAGTTTGGTTTATATATACATTCCATAATATTATGGCTACTGAACTTTATCGTAATCTAACGCCATTCTATAAGGAATTAGCAAAAAAGACAATTTCAGAAAACCCTTCACATGTTCCTGCACATTTAACTGCCTTCAAACGATGGCTGAGTTCTTGTCCACACTTAACAGTTCCTCAAGGTAAGTAAACAAATTTATTCATCACCTTACAAACTCTTTTGTTTTATGATTAACTGTTAAATGTCTGATAATTAATTATGTAATCACTATGCAATCATTGTCCGCTGTCCTTACATCCATTTCGGTTGTTCCCGTGACTAGTAGCATTTGAGAAAAACCTCAGCAAGTAATTCTTGAATCTGACCACTTTATCAGCAGTAGATGATCATTTTTTAGGAAGGTGTTTTAAAAAATTATCTACTTAAGAGTAATCTTCATTATGAGACAATATTAGCCAGGAAATCATTGGAAAAATTAAGTGCAACTGTGTCTTGGTGCATATTCCTGATGTAAAAACTCCGGTCCTTAAGATTTTGTGCTATGATAGAAATCAATATCCCTGTCAATCTACATCTGCCTACTAACTATTTTGAGTTTTTCAGTAGATGGACGGTAATATGAACTAACAACTGAGTGACTTAGTGCAATTATATCCAGCTCAATAGTCTGTAGTTAGGTATTTTACACGATTATATGAAAGCAATTCACTAACTTCGAAGGATGCTTGTTTCACAGTTTTATTCTGTACTTTGATTGGACACTAAGTAGTAGCTAATGCCCTGCATCTATTCCTTTGTTTGGTCGCAGACTGAACTCTATCAGTCATGTTTGCAGTGTTAACGCCTCTGACTGCAGAACTGGGTGACGCAGGTTAGAATCTCAGTAGGGACATGAGTTCCTTCAAAATTGCAGATAAACCCTACTGACGAGTACCAACAAAAGCAGACTTAGTTTTCAGGCCTCTAACCATCTAACAACAAACTTTAATCAATCTTAATGTGCTGTTTATTGTGCAGTTAGTAGGATTGAATGGACAAAGTCCCAAATAATTCAGTTTTACTACATTTGTTCCAAACTCTTGATTTATTAATCTTCGAATACTTACGATTTTAATAATCATTTTGTTCTGTCCTCTTGCTTGACTGAATTTCATGGTGTACAAAGCTATAGCTATGTTCTTTTCAATAGTTCTTATCGTACTACAGCCTATCATTACATACTTTACTAAGTAGTCGACTCGATTCCAAATGGTTTAACTAATGAATTATAATGCGATAACATCCCATGGCAATTGGCTGTAGTATTAATTCACACTTATTTTACTTGTTGAAGTCTGCCTAACTATTTGCTTTTTTTTTCGGGGGGGGTAAGAGGCTGCAGATTTTGTTTAGAGGCTACAATATTTTTAAAAAAATTACAAACAATAATGGTAATTTCATGACTAGACTATCTTGATGTGCTAACTACTCCACTGCCCCGAGGCCAGTTGAGATACTGTGGGCTGATGGTTAGACACATCTTGATCCAAATTGAAAAGCGTCTTTAGGAATTCATTTATACTTACTGCCGACCCTAAAAATTTAAATATCAGTCAATTATCAACTATGATACAAAGCAACATATTTTGTTTAAGAACAAAATATCGGTGGTAAACGTGGAATAAGTTTCTTAAAAACCATGTATATATACTATTGTACAGCTTGATAATAAATTCGTTGAAAAGAGTCTCTCCTCTGAATCACTTGTTTTGATTGTCTATGTGTACCGATGGGAATTTTCCATATATATATATGTAATAACTTCAGTGAGAAGTCAGCACTCAGGTAATCAAAATTGAATTTCTTCCGAAAATTAAAGCTTATAACCCATGAAAATTAATTGGTGGATAGTGACTGGCAGTGGAATCCAGGATAACGCGCATTTCGTCCTATTTGGGACTCGTCATCTGGGTGTACCTGCATTCCCCAGTGAGTGATGATGTTCCCACTGAGGCTCGAACCCAGCGCCCATAGTTTCAAACGCCAAAGCGTTATCCAATAGACCATTTGGGCCACGAGAGCCACTGCCTCTTGTGCAACGGGTCATATCAATTATTCAATTCAATTTTACATTTTCCCGTCAATTGACTGGACCGAAGTGCTCGGTCTCAGGTTGACATGTCGGCTGACGAGTCCCAAATAGGACGGAATGCGCATTCTGGATTCCACTGCTAGTCACCATCCATCAATTAACTTCGAATTACATGCCCAGAAAGTGACGAAGTATCTGCACAATATGCCGACATGTCATCCATGGAAATCAGTTTTGAAATTTTATTTAGAGAACTTTTGAGAAGTAAAAGGCTTTGGCGAGCTTATTTTCTTATCAGAAACAGATGCCTAGTGTGTCTCGGCTTTCCCAGAAATCTTCAACTGAAATATGAAGATTAATGATGTGTAATCACACCAAAGTAACACTAAAGTAGACATTTCTATGCAGAGTAATTAGTTGGTCACAGGGATTTGTTACTGTTAAGTATATTTCATCAATAAGTCATCTTGATAGTGTTTTTTTTTGTTGTTGTTGCTATCACCTCTTACACTATTGTTCCATATGTTTTTATTGTAGTATATGTAGTTTTAGCTAACGGCATATTATGTGATACATATAACTCCTGACACCTTAGAAGTAAATATAAAATGGTTATCATGATGGTATCAAGTAAACATCGTAATAGTTTTGGCTACACTAGTCAACAGCATTACATCTAGAAAATTCTTCGCTTAGGTTTGTTTGATTAGGTTCCTCTATATGAGTTTGACGCGGTTGTTATGACAGTCAGACATATTTGCAGCACCCTAGAGAACAAAACGTAATACAGTAAACAGTTTTGCTGCTTCACTATTCACCCATTATAACGACCTAACATTGTTTTACAATAAATAATAAGAGCAGAAATGAGATAAAACTATTCTAGATTTCTTTTTAGTTAACTTACAAACACAAGGTATTTGTGTCAACATAGTCACTACACATCTACACATATAATTATAAAATTCAGTCTAGAATTAAAATACTACACAAGCCAAATTCAAGTACATACCATAGTTAGTTATTCAGTTAGTCAATATTTGTCTTTTATACTTGGCTAGTGTGTATGTTAAGCAGAACACTATATCTCTGTTGTATTGTTCTTTGATCAAGATACATCAATGTGTCTTGTTTTATATAGATATGAATAGGTCAAGGTAAAAATGCTATCACAATGATTCGTAGGCGATATTTTTATAAGTAATATACTTGTGTATCAGTGTTAGTGTGTGTGTGTATGTGTAGAAGGATGACCCTCACCATGGGGATAACAGTCTTTCAGGAAAGAAAGAAAGAAAGACAGATGACTGTGAAAATATGAGTATTTGTGTTGTTATCATCGTTGTTATTATTAGTATTATTACAGAGATGACGACACTAGTGTATAATAGGTGATTCTGTTTATCTTAAAATGTCTACTATCTCCTTAAAAAGAAAATAAAAGACTAATTCAGCGAAGAAAATTTTCCTTATCGACGAAATCATCTTCAGAGGCTGTATAGTCGTATTTATATTTACCAAAAATGTATAGTAGTCTATTATTGAGTAATAGGGGGTGACATAATAAGATATAATTACTCAGAAGTGGCTTTAGAAGTAAAAAATAAAAGTTGTAAATTACGTAGTACTCAACGGCACAAAGGAAGAAAGATATGGAAATTTGATGAGGTTAAAATTGCTATCGAGTGAGAATAAACGTAGTTGAAAATTAAATTTTTTACAGGGAACGACTAGCGAAGAGGTTAAGACCATGGTAGAATAAGAGACTGAACAAACTTCTTCTGTACACAGAGTTCGGGGTTGTATTGAAAAGTTGCCAACGCCTCCACCGTAACCTGGTGCCCTTTGTACCATTTGGCCTCACCTTGTAGATGATTTTGAAAGACGACTCTGGGGGAGCTGCGTGGCTTGCTTTCACCAAGTGCTCGAGAATTGAGCTAGTAACTATCTTGCATTGTCCTTTTTCTAACTAACCATGTCGGATAATGTTCAGAGATGCGTTTGGAAAGTGTGCGCTTTGTGCGGCCAATATAACTAGCTCCACAGGAACAGGTGAATTTATAAAGACACATTGAAGTGGCCTGTCCAAAGCGGCAGTTAATCCTTCATACATCCAATGATCATTTGTGGGTTGTAGAAATTGATCCGCAAAGAAGGCTTTTCTCAGTGATCTGCATAAGCGATTCTTCAGGATCTCAGCTGCGGTATCAACGTTCATAAATAGCAGTTTCTTCGACACCGTCTGGGTTCTTTTGAGCTTTTGCTTCAATTTCATGTTTTTCTCGATGAATCTTGGAGGATATCCATTCTCTATAAGGACTTGTCTGAGTCACTCCAGTTCTCCTTATATGTAGGAGAGTAGACAATAGACAATGTAGGTAGTGTACTGAATTCACATTAAAATGATGGTCAATCTGTATTAATGAGAATTAAAAAGTATGTATATCCGTCTGTCAAGCTAATTTAATTCTCATTGACTATGCTATTTGTAGACATAATACTAGAAATCAGGGTTTAAAAAATAATAAGACTGTAATTTATTCAAACATCTGTTAATACATAATAATTACAAAGTTTTTTCAAATATTGGTTTGTAGGGATTTGATTGATTGGTTACAGGTTACAGCACTCCCAGGTTAGCTCATGATGAAATCCTGTAACCACCTGGTGGGTGCGTACTGATGAAGAGTCCCAAACTAAAACGAAACAGCTGCCCAGTACTCCCTGAAGGTTTTCCGTATATATGTATATATGTATAGAGGGAAAGCCTACTTTAAAGCCTTGTATAATAGTGTTAACCTAAAGTCCAGCAAACCGTATGCCTTTAATTACATCGATGCAGGATTCATTATCTAGTTAGCGCTTCTTAAAGTCTTGGCAAACTGAGCCCAGTGTTAGAAACTGTTGCACTGGTAAACTGGATTTAGTTTAACGAACAAAATTTTGGTGAATATCACGTTAAACAGTGAATTACACCGGTGTAATAACCTATTTTTGTTAAAGCAAGGGAAAATAAGTTGGTGAGATGGCACTTTACAGGAGAAGTCTATTGATATATCTTGCTTTGTTAAAATGTTAACTTCATAGATTATACTTCTCGTCATACAACACAAGTCATCGGTTAGAAAAACTTCTTTAGAGAATGACTGGTTGAATTCTACTTTTGATAAATCCTCCTGTCTGGATTAATTTACCTCATGGCCACTGGAAATGGGAGATATGAAAAAGGCTAACAGTGTTTGACAACATGTTTGAGTTCCATCTCCCGCGTTATGTTCAGGTTAAGCGTAGAGTGTTAAATAACGAATTAAGTCAGTATATGAGGTTGTGATGCTATGGCCACGACACGCGTTACTCATGCTTAGAAACAGGCTTCCTCGTCGAGTAGTGCTAACTGACATATGATCAGGTTGGAAAAGAGCTAGTGGTGGTCAAACTAAAACTTGACATCAATCCATGAAGACTTCAGCTGTTAGGTTGAACCACATAGAGAGATGTAGACTACTTGGTTGAGGTCCTCAAGATGCTAAGATCCAATGACTTGAGACTAGTGGTGATATATATATCAAAATCGTTCTCAGTGGCGTAAATGTATTCACGCTTTGTATTCTGCCACATATATTAACTCTTCATGTTTTTCCCTGTTACCTTTTTTCTCGACTACACTTCTAGTCATTATAGTTCCTTTGAGTTTTCTTTTCTCTCTCTCTCTTCCCTCTACCTTTGTATACTCAATAGAATGTGTAGTAACTTGAACTGCTACACTTTTGTGTAATGCTCTATGTTAAAATTGAGTAAGTCAATCAATTAGTAAAAGGAGACTTTTACTGCTATGTCCCAACTCCATTTAGTTACTTGCTTCTATTAAGTTCAAATAATCTAACTTTGAATTTAATTTGTGAAATCCAGGATACGCATTTCATCCCAATTGTGACTCGTCAGCTGGATGTATCTGCATTTCCCAGTGAGTGATGATGATGAAATAAATCTAAACAAAATCTAACTTTCATCATCATATGATCATTGAGAATTTATGCTTTTAGTTGTTGTTTGGCACCTGGTTCCTTTTAAAAAAAGTTTGGACACTGGTAATATGAGAACCGACTGTTGTTGTGTACAGTTAGTTTATTCTTGTGTACTGCATTCTTCTTACTCATTCACGTCATGTTTACTGTTTTTCCTTTTTGTTGTGTTCATATATGTTTCGATGTCTTTTATTTTTTGCTCAATAAACAAGAATGTATCAAAGTAGAAACATAATAGTGATACTAATACACTCACAAATGATTAAGAAAGTATGTGAAGTTTTAGATCAATACTAAAGAATGCGATATTATTATTATTATTTAAATGAAATTCTGTTTTAATCATTATTGAACACAAAAGAATGAAGTTTAGAGTCAACAGCAAGCAGTAGAATAAAGTTGTACATTTACTAATCTTTTCACAATTATAGAGATAATCTTTTAAAAAAGTAAATTCAAAACAGTTTACGATGAGAAACTTCACAAAATTTGTTTGAAAGATGAGAACTTACACATATATGCTGTGTGCATAGCAAAATAATTATTACTTCTTTTTTGTGTCCTACATAGATTGATTATAATTTGCATAACATTCATTTTGTGAATAGCTGAGAACTGGGTCCATTTAGAGACTTGACAATTAACACTATAGTAAAATAAAAATAAGTACGATTTTCCTGACATTAGAAATTACATTTGAGATAGTGTGTTAGGCATGTTGCTAAGACAATCAAACACATATATGAAAGGATTATGAATTAGAAAAGATTTTGGACACACTTACTCTAATGTATTCGAAATAACCTTAGTAATATGCCGTTAGCTAAAACTACATATACTGCAATAAAAACATATGGAACAATAGTGTAAGAGGTGATAGCAACAACAACAACAACAAAAAACACTATCAAGATGACTTATTGATGAAATATACTTAACAGTAACAAATCCCTGTGACCAACTAATTACTCTGCATAGAAATGTCTACTTTAGTGTTACTTTGGCGTGATTACACATCATTAATCTTCATATTTCAGTTGAAGATTTCTGGGAAAGCCGAGAAGCACTAGGCATATGTTTCTGATAAGAAAATAAGCTCGCCAAAGCCTCTTGCTTCTCAAAAGTTCTCTAAATAAAATTTCAAAACTGATTTCCATGGATGACATGTCGGCATATTGTGCAGATACTTCGTCACTTTCTGGGCATGTAATTCGAAGTTAATTGATGGATGGTGACTATCAGTGGAATCCAGAATGCGCATTCCGTCCTATTTGGGACTCGTCAGCCGACATGTCAACCTGAGACCGAGCACTTCGGTCGAGTCATTTGATGGGAAAATATAAAATTGAATTGAATAATTGATATGACCCGTTGCACAAGAGAAGGCTCTCGTGGCCTGAATGGTCTAGTGGATAACACTTTGGCGTTTGAAACTATGGGCGCTGGGTTCGAGCCTCAGTGGGAACATCATCACTCACTGTGGAATGCAGGTACACCCAGATGACGAGTCCCAAATAGGACGAAATGCGCGTTATCCTGGATTCCACTGCCAGTCACCATCCACCAATTAATTTTCATGGGTTAATAAGCTTTAATTTTCGGAAGAAATTCAATTTTGATTACTTGAGTGCTGACTTCTCACTGAAGTTATATAAATATATATATGGAAAATTCCCATCGGTACACATAGACAATCAAAATAAGTGATTCAGAGAAGAGACTCTTTTCAACGAATTTATCATCAAGCTGTACAATAGTATATATACATGGTTTTTAAGAAGTTATATCCGGTGAGGGTATTGAATCATAGGCGTGAATACACAACATAATAGTAGTAGTATGAAATGCAATTAAAATTAAAATGTTTGTCATTATAATCATAGTTAAGTGTCAAGTGAAAACAATTAGTGTCATATATAGAACAATTCATAGGATGTATAGAGGTTGGAAGGGGTGTAAAATTATAGGACTAGTAGGCAAATAGAATAAAAATAAAGATATTCAAGTATTGGTTTGTAGGGATTTGGTTGATTGGTAACAGGATTTCATCATGAGCTGACATTGGTTACAGAACCATTGGAGCACCTTGGAGTACTGGACAGCTGTTTCGTCCTAGCTAGCGGTTGCGCTATATCGTGAATTGGCAGAAGTTAGATTTCATGAGCCGCTGGATTGGCTCAGTGGCTCAATCGTCTACGAGCTCACCTTGTAACCAGAAGGTCCTGGGTTCGAACCCCGGTGAGTGTGTACTGCTGAAGAGTTCCAAACTAGGACGAAACAGTTGTCCAGTACTCCTAGGTTTTCCAGTGGTTCTCTAACCAATGTCAGCTTATGATTAAATCCTTAACCAAAAAATAAAGATGTTGCCTAACATTGTGTGAAATTTGATAACGTAGCATTTAACGTTGCAAAACGAAATTGATTTGGAATGACAAGTGGGACGAGTGAAATAATACCGGGGACAGTTCAAAGTGAGAATAATAGTAGTAACAATTGACATAATAAAGGGGGAGTATACACATGGAGTAAACAAAATGAAAAATAAGTAAAGCCAAAATATGGTTAGGGATTATCATACTTTAGCATAGAGGGAATAAGACCATGAAAGTTGGGGGGGGGGAACGGAATTTTTCTCTAAACAGAGATCTAGCATCCGTATTTCTATGGCCAAAGCTTCAGCAATACCCTTGAGTTCGATAGGTAATGATTTGAGCAAATTACTTTTCGCCTTGTAGGTGACTTTAAAGGTGGAGACTGCAAAGATAGGGTAATCATTATCGAACATATATTTAATAATTTTACACCCCTTCCAACCTCTAAATATCCTATGAACTGTTCTATATATGACACTAATTATTTTCACTTGACCTTTAACTATGATTATAATGACAAACATTTTAATTGCATGGAGGATTTCATCATGAGCTGACATCAGTTAGAGAACCATTGGAAAACCTGGGAGTACTGGACAGCTGTTTCGTCCTAGTTTGGGACTCTTCATCTGTACGCACCCACCGGGATTCGAACTCAGGACCTTCTGGTTACAAGGTGAGCTCGTAGACCATTGAGCCACTGGGACCCAATCCAATGGTTCTTGAATTCTAACTTCTGCCAATTCACTACATAGCGTGACCATTTCGCAATGTCTTCTTCGATGAGTTACTGCCTCATCTTCAACCTTCAACATTTTAATTTTAATTGCATTTCATACTAGTACTATTATGCTATGTATTCGCGCCTATGATTCAATACCCTCACCTCATATATATTTCTTAAAAACCATGTATATATGTACAGCTTGATAATAAATTCGTTGAAAAGAGTCTCTTCTCTGAATCACTTGTTTTGATTTTGTAATATATATATATATATATATATATATATATATATATATATAATTGATACAGCTTGGGATTGCATAAGTTAATTTCTTTGCCTATATTAGACACTTTTAAATTCTGTTCACTAATCAATGCAACCTTGTATTTCTTTCATATCATTCTGTTTTTCTCCTATAAATCAATCAACAGACGATATATTCCTCCTCGGTTTCTTACGTTATGCACATTATGAGCATTCAGCTGCACAAAAACGTATTGACAATTTTTGCACTTTACGCTGTTCACCTAAACATGGGATAACAGAATGGTTTAAATATCCTGATTTATCTGATCCTCTCGTCGATGAATATTTAGATTCAGGGTAAGTTTAGTCATATTGAAATCTAATATTTATCCTCCATATAAGTTTGCTTAGTGTACATTGGATATGAAAACAGAGGTGATGAAGATTCCTGGTCAACAGCAACAGCGACAACGACTGATAACAATCAGAATAAATGGGAGGAATCTGAAAGAAGCAACCGCCTTTACATACCTGAGGAGCATCGTTTCAACTACAGGCAGATGAAACTGATGAGGATATCAAAGCAGCGAGGATCGTGAAAGCAAGGCTAGCTTTCATTACTCTCAAGTCTGTGTGGAGATCAACAGTACTCAGCATGAAAATGAAAATAAGAACCGGATTTCCAACTCCAATGTGAAATCTAGTCAGTGCTACTTACTATACAGATCAGACACTTGACGCATCACGAAGGCCATTTTGAACAAACTACACACCAACATCAATAACTGTCTCTGCTCAATACTTCGCTCAAGGTTAGATGGTCGGCCAGAAAAGATCAGCAACAGGGAGGGATCTCTGGCAATGAACGAACGAACCAACCCAGCAGGAACCAATTGTACAACAAATATGCAGGAATAAATGGAGGTGGATTGTGGCCATACTCTGAGAAAACAAACCATCAAGTGACATCACACGCCAGGCCATCACTTGAATGGAACCCGAATGGGAAGTGGCGAGTTGGTCTTCATTGCGGGGGTTACATGGAGGAGGTCATGTGAAGAGGAGATAAAAGCATGTGGATAGACGTGGAGCCAGGTGAAAACTTTGGCGGAGAACCGAACTCAATGGAGATGTACGGCTGAAGTCCTATGTTTCTCTAGGAACTAAATGAAACAATAATAATAGTGTCTAAGTTTTATAGTTACGTTAATCTGATTGCCATTCACCACTTTTAAGTTATTAAAATCCACAGAAAGCATCACTGACTCGATTCCCACTAGTGTTATCTCTGATTTCAGTAGTAAAAGATGTTTCAGTTTAAGGAAAAGGATTTAAGTAAACTCCTTCTAATCATTTGATAAGTGTGAAACATCATAAACTGGTTAAGTCGACGAACAGCAATCCAAGGGAATAAACGAACACACTATTGACCTTGAAACGCTTAACTACAGAGAGACTAGGTAAATAACACCATATTGGTAAAAAAAGGTTATTGAATGAAGTTGAAGAATATTGAGCGAGATACCTTTCTTCATACCCTTTTTTCTCCACTCCTAATACGTAAGTCTATTTTTCTTCTCTGATTGAAACTTGCCATGGTAATGGAATTGGTTGTTTCAAGGCTATTGGTGAGGCTGTTCCCCTTGGATTTCCAATTTCTCAAGCTTATTCACGAAATTAAGAATGTTACTTTAGCTGTTGTTTAATAAATTGATGTCATTGTATCATATGGATAAAATTAGTTGTTCCAAAATGTTCCTAACTGTCAGGAGAGTAACATCGCTAAGGTTGTAACATCATAAATTAGGTTTATTATTGATCTTTACTGTATAAGTTCTTAGAAGCGGTCTACATTTTAAACAAAATATTGTGACTCATTAATTGTAACGAAACTATCAAACTTAAATAATACAATAGTACCGCAAAATTTAAAACTGTGTAACTTCGATCTAATGGGGATGACACTGGAATTCTGGGTATGTTCTACTATTACTTTAACACAACAACAATAAAAGATAGAATACGTGTTCTAATTTCGGAAGTCATCGGGAAAGTGTAGACCACATATGAAAACTAGGCATTTGAGGTGATGCTGCGTAAGTTGAACTAAGTTGGAATTATAACATGCATCATTAGATTCACCAGCAAAAGTAGTATAATCATCATATTGAATAATGTTGCGTTTTCCACAATTATTCTAAGAAGAATTTGAATTGTTTCGTTGAAAAGAATACCTCAAGGAAAGTTTAGCAGAATAAAATTCACATAATTAGCTTGTCCACTAGATCCAAGTTTGCTCAGAGGAAAAGGAAATTTTGCTGCACTGTCCAGCTTAGTCAATTCCATCTTGAATTAATCTTCGAACCTTCCAAATCATGAGTGAAAAGTTATTCCAGCATCTGAATGATAAATAAATACCATAACTGACTTTAGAACAGGATCAGTATAAGAATGACTGGATGACTGCATAGATAATTTATCAGTAATAACCTTGATCAGCGAGGCGTTTGGAGTAAACACAGGAGTCAGACAAGGGTGCTTATTATCACCAATGATATTCCTAATTGTGGGGGACTGGATTATGCGTCAGACAGTGGGAAACGAGAAGACAGGGATATCCTGGACCGACGTGAAGAACCTAGAAGACCTGGATTTCGCGCGTGGATGATTTCTGTTTGATGTCACACAAAATCGAAGACTTACAAGCGAAAACCGACAAACTGGTCGAAGAAGCAGCAAAGACAGGACTCCAGGTGAACATAAACAAGACGGAGATTATGAAAATAACCAACCAACAACAACAACCACAACAGCAACATCCAGCGCCAATCACCATCAACGGGAGGGATTTGAAAGAGGTTACTTCATTCACTTATCTAGGGAGCATTGTCTCAACTACAGGAGGAACGGACGAGGATGTCAAATCGAGAATCGGGAAGGCGAGAAACACATTCATCAACCTGAAACCAATCTGGAAATCTTCGTCACGCATAACAACAATCGGATTTTCAATACAAACGTCAAGTCACTTCTTCTATACGGATCAGAAACTTGGCGGGTCACAAAGAATATTTCCAACAGGTTGCAGAGACCTTTATCAACAACTGTCTTCGTTCTATACTGAAGATCAGATAGCCGGAAAGAATCACCAACAAGAAACTATGGGAACAAACAAAACAAGAACCAATCGCCCAACAAATATGCAGGAGAAAGTGGAGATGGATTGGACACTCACTCGCTGAGGAGGCCGCTGGGTGACATCGCGCGTCAGGCCATAGCTCGAGTGGAACCCGAAAGGGAAGCGGCGAGTGGTTCGTCGTCGCAAGGGTGACATGGAGGAGATCGTGTGAAGAGGAGTTGAAACAGTATGGATTAACATGGATGCAGGTGAAAAGTACAGCAGAAGACAGAAGCAAGTGGAGACGTGTAGTTGAAGCCCTATGTTCCACTAGGAACCCAAGGGAACAATAATAAATAACCTTGATACGTTTCATTTGAGAGTCTTCGTACTGTTTCTGTTACTACTGTAACAGTAACTGCACTTGTTCAAAACTGAAGGACAAGAATTCATACATCGTCTCCAAAATATTGTAACGGGGACTACAGCGCTCTATAAGAATATACTACTGATCACTCGACAGTTATTCTCACACTGAAAAGATACAGAAAACCAACTGAGAAGACAAGATTTACTTTCTCCGTGCAAAAAAGCAATATCACTAGAAATTACAATTATTTAGATAGTTATTTAACATGACAGAAAAATTACCAATTTAAGATATAAAAGCAAGGTTTTAGCCGGTTATCAAGTACCAGTAAAAATCCCCTAACCTGCCCCTTGATCTGTGTTATGGTCAAATGTCTGGTGTACAGGTCATGTATACAATGAGTCATAATATGTTTCCTTCTGTCCTCACGGTACCTAGTAAGTACACAGTTTTTTTTGGTTAACATACGCCAATCATTTTATGTTGTGTTCATCTTGCTGTCGAACTCAAAGCACCCCTTAGTGGTAAAAAGGTAAAAACGTTTGTTCTGTTTTGATCCTTTCTAGCTCTCCACTGTCTACTTCTACTAATTTCCTGATTATCTAAATGATTCTGAATTATGATTTAACATTTAAGACTTGACATTCTATTCTTGTAAGGGAAATAACTCGAAAGTTATTAAAGGTTAAACATCAGGTAAAAGGAAATTATATCTGAGAGAATTTACTCTTCTTAAGTTTTATGATCAGTGTTAACTGTCATGGTGTTTCCCTCGCTAATTCGTGAAAAACCTTCGTTTGTATAAACTGACCCCCTCTCTCAAAAATCTTAGACGAGTAACAAAACTAATAATCAATCAATGAAACTGATTGTTACGAAGCTGGAAAGTGAATCTAACTGCTTTGAAAACACCGTCAATGATTTAAAAACTGTGTGCAGAGTCCAATTTGATAAATTTCATTCGAGATCTTCAATACAAAACATGTCAAAATTTCTCTACAACCATATCCAAAACATTGGTAAAGTAACACCCATGTGAAGCTTCCAGAAAACTCCAAAAATCATTATCGATCAGATAAGTATAAAACTATATCAAACTGAAATTGAGGCTCTTTCACTCGGATTCAGGTTCCATATCCCGAGAATATTTGTGGATAAAATAAACACAGAAGCACAATTTGAGAATTTATTCAACCAGTTAATCGACATCCCGTCAGTGAAGAAAAGAAAGGTTGGTTCAAATGGAGACTAGTTGATATCTCCAACCACTACCTTTGTTCTCCAATTCAGTAGTCTAGAATCATGACTAAAGAGTACGAAAAAGCAATTAAACGTTTGCTAAGCAATGAAAGTATCGTCATACTGAGACCAGAGAAAGGTTGAGGCGCTGTAGTGATGAACAAGGCTCACTATATCCAAAAAATAGAGTTCATTCTCAATGGCACTTAGAAATTCAAGATTGATAAACACAAGAAGGATATGACAGGTTCAACAGAAAAGAAAGCCACAAAGTTGCTCATTGATTAGCCCATAAGCTGGAACCCATCAGACAACGATTAGCTCAAAATACGCTGAAAGATTCGTTCCACTCAGTCGAAGAACTGAGTCAACTTAACGAATGTAATAAACTTATCGTCTCCTTTGATGTGACTTTTCTATTCACACAGGTCCCACTGCATGGGACGTTAGACATCATCTGTCAACATGCTGATTTGCTTCCTCTGCCAAATCTGGAATTTAAGCAGCTTCTCGTGTTATGTACTAATGATATACAGTTCCGCTTTGACAACGAAATGTGCCGCCAGGTTGACGGAGTGGCGATGAGGAGTCCACTGGGTCCTGTATTGGCTGATATTCTTATGGCCAGTACATAACAGACAAAACTCAAGTGTGTAACTGGGGAAACAACAACCTAGTATAGATAGGTAGGTGACACATTCATTGTATGCAATGATATGAGTCACGCTTCATCTCTATTGGGCTTATTTAGCAATGAACATATGAGCATCACTTCCACTACGGATCACAAATATACCGAAAAATTCCACTTCCTGTATATCAACTTGGAGAGAGAAAAAAGGATGGGACACGCGAGAGATCAATATATCGTAAAGACACATGTAGTGGTCTCTACCTAAACTTCAACAGCTTCTGCCCAGTCATTTACAAACGAACTCTGGTGAAAACGCTTTTCTCCATAGCAAAACGAACACGTTCACCTGACATATTGGACAATGAACTAATGCTGCTTCAGAAATGCTTGAAAGAAAATGGTTACCCATAAAGCATCATTGACAAATATGGCGAGAATGAATGTAAGAAACCTGATGCAGCTACGGTCAGCAAGGAGCCAGTTTTCATCGAACTCGACTTCAAAGGGAATGATACCATGAGAATCATAAACAAAAGATTAAGGGCAGCCATGTCCAGGACATACCCTGCATCAAAACTATTCTCTGTGTTCCGAATATCCTCCTCGTTGGTGCACTCAAAGATAGACAAGTACTCCTCATATGTTACTTCCAACGGTGTATACCAATTCACAGGTATCTGCGGGAACAGTTACATTGGGAAAACAGAAAGAAGGGCCTGCGTCAGAATCTTCAAACATATACTAAGGAGCTTCTGGTTAAAGGGGTCAAGTAGTTTAAGCTCTTCAATTACCAAACACCTGATAGACACTGGACACTGAGTGGACGTGCCAGTATCATTCAAAATAATTGACAGACAAAACAGCTCAAGTCTTCTTCGGTTTGCTGAGGCTACTACAATAAAACGGCTGAAACCTGACCTATATGTCTAGAAGGAATCTGTCATTGGACTTCAGTTAACCAGCTGACTCATCCCTTAATAACTCTTTGTTTCCTAATTTCATTAACTTATTTTTCAATATCCCTCACGCACACACTTTTTTCCGTTTGACTTCCAGAAGAGATAATTCTTCTTGACCTTATGATATTACATCATCGCCGTCTTTTCATTTAAACTCTCGCACACCAAAGTTTGACCTTCTCTTATCTAACCACGTAACTATTACTAATTTTTTGTTACCACCAACAACAAGTTTATCAATGAATGCTTGATAAACTTCTGTCTAACACGATATAAATATATTTACACTGTAACACTTCAGCTAGCTTGTCACCTTGATATTTTACCTCAGCAGGACGCTCTTACAATATGCTTGTTGATAGACAAAAGTATGTTAAATTTTACTCTGACTTTTATTTATTTTCAAAAGTTGGTTTGTAAGGATTAAATTTGTTTTTACAAGTTTCACCGCGGAATGATATCAGTTAGAGAACCACTGAAAACCAGGGAGTACTGGACAGCTAGCTGTTTCGTCAGCCTAGTTTGGGAATCATCGTCAGTACGAACCCACCCAACAGGGTTCGAACTCGGGACCTTCCTGTTACAAGGCAAGCTCGTATACCATACAGCCCTGGGACCCAATCTAATGGTCAGACCATGAATTCTAACTTCTACCAATTCGTGATTTAGCACGACCACCAACCAATATCATCGGTGGGAAATCCATTAAAGATTATAAGTTGCATGCAGATGATGAGAACATACAAAACGAAACAAAATGGATCCATATTATTCTGCACCATTGTTTATTCCTTCTCTGCTCAAATTTATAAAAGGGAATTGTTGTATGAAATACATATGACAAAAGTGGTCATAATGAGTACTATTCGACTTAATGAAATATACATTTTTGAAAATTTAGTACATATATATATACATGCATATATTACATACACTTTTTCTTCCTATTATTCTTGTTTCCAATCCTCAGAATACTTGTGCCATTGGGCACTGTAGACAGTGGAGTACATATGTTCCTAATGAGATTGAGTAAGTTTTAAAAAAATTAAAAGATCATACGAATAATTCCTTCTTTTTTTAAAGAGGCATGGAAACCAGAACGTATACCACAAGTAAAAATGAGAACAATGAATAATATGTGTTTTGAACGATTTCTTTTAAATGAAAAATGTCAAATTGGTGGTATTGGTATTTTTATTGACATGTCAGATGCAACATCCAAGCAAGTCGGTGAATGGACTGATACTAAAACAGCTAAAAGTGCAATAAAACTATTACAGGTAAAAATTAATGAATAGAAATTTCTACTTTATTCTAAATGTTATCATATTAATACCAGGGATAATTTTGTTTCTTCTTCTTCAGTGTTTCAAAGTGTTTGACTCTGATCTTTAGTTTACAATGTCTGACGATACTTTCCTGTAATTATTTATTGATTATTATTTTGTTCCTTTGCGTTCTCACTGGAACATAGGACTTCAAGCTAGAGCATTGTAGTTTCGGTTGCAGTGGTTTCTGATTTTTACTGGGGGGGGGGGCGGGAATGGCAAGTCTCACACCCAACTTTACCCTTTCGACAAGCTTATTACCAGCTAAGCGAGGTTTTGGAAGTGCGTCGGTGGTCGGGGATTAAATCCCGCACCATCTGTGTGGCTGGCGAGCATTCTACCTCTGTGACACTGACGAACTTTCCTCCAAATGATCACACTTTTTCAGCAGTACATTACTTATTTTAATACTGCTATCGACTTTAAGTCTTATTCTCAACTTGAATAGTGACTCCTGAAGACATATGCATGAGAAACCATGCAGATACTCGAGAATAATTAATTTTTTCACTAACTTTTGAGTAAAGACAAACATCAGAAGTCAGTGGCTGAATGGTTAAAGAAATCGCCTTGTAACCTGAAGGCCCTGAATTCAATCCCTGGTTGGGTCATATGTGCATAGCCCTGAAAAGTCCCAAACGAGAATGAAACATCTATCCAGCATTCCTTGGTTTTTGATGTTTCTCTAACAGATGTCAATTTGTCATGAATCTTGAAATCCTAAGGAACTTGATAGTAAAATAGGGATGTGAAACAAAAACACTTACTAACACTAAACAGTGTAAATATATAGGGAAGCGAATGTGCACGCACAATATATGAGGGAGAAGTATATCATATTAAAAAGATTTAACACAGTCTTCTTCAGGAACATGCATGGGATGGTTAGGCATGTCTAATTACTTCAGAAAAATAATACTGGAAATCAGAAGCATTTCTACTGACTAACGAAATTAAAGAATAGCGGTCCACGTAATGTGAATGAACGAGTGAACTTGAGGCGACCAATCAGAATAAGGGGTGTCTTTTACATTAAAATGCCGTTCGTTTACTAAAAATAAGATCGAGATAAAATCTGCTCCTCAAAGAAGGCAAATTTGTTTATTGGATATTTCACACAGTGACGTTTCGAACACAATAATAATCATAATCACATCAGTGGTAACTGCACAAATTCAAAACTCGAGTTCCGCAGCTCTCTTCATTCCTTACCATTCGTCGTAGGAGTAGTTGAATTTTCCAGATGTCTGAGATAGGTGTTGCATAATTCCTATTGCATGTGTGATTCGATAAATAAGACTTCACTTATCAGTCCCTTCCCCTTCCCTCACCGTGAAGAAAGAGAACCATAGAAATGAAGTTCTGAAGTTCATTTAAGCTGAATTAGAACCGATAACTCTCTAGAAATCATAGCCTTTTAGAAGAGAAAGTGTATTGTATCTGTAATAAACTTAAAACCGATACCCAGGCGTTTCTAATGAGGACAGCAACAGTTTATCTGCTCTCTTTACACCTTATTATTAAATCCACAAAGTACCTATTTCTCTTCTACAATGTGGGATCTTTTAGATACTATGCACTGGTAGATTGCTGTTTCATGATTTGGTCATACATGTTTCATAATATGCATTATTTCTTTTGAAATTAAGATCATTTCTAGGCAAAAAGAAGAACTGAGCAGATGTCGTTCAAGATTATTTCTTTGTTTGAATAATAGTATAAGTGTTTCAGCATGCCAATACATTGAGCCTAGTAAAATAAACAGCATACAATCAGTCCATGACATAATTTACGACAAGAAATCTTATATGCTATTGGTCGAGGCCCAGAATATCACCTTTTTAACCTACATACGTGATACATAAATAGCACTAGTATTTAGTCCAATAAACCATATTTTCGAAGTCTTTTTAATAGCACAAGCATTAAAATGAAAACTCATCTGGTCGGCCATAAATAGAACAAATTATTAATCCTACATCCCACACCTAAGAATTACCTATTATTATTATTCCCTTGGGTTCCGTGTGGAACATAGGGCTTCAACAATATATCTCCACTTTGTTCTGCTTTCTGCTGTCCTCTTCCGCTGGGTCCACGACTGACCATAATCGCTCATCTCCTCTCCACACGATCTCCTCCACATCACCCTAGGACGACCCACTGGAGGGCCTGGCACGCGATGTCATTCGATGGTTTCCTCAGTGTTGCATCCATATCCATTCTCCTACATATTTGTTGATCTGTCACCTCTTGGTTGGTTTTCTTGCTACTAATTCTTTCTGGCCATTTGATCTTCATTATGGAACCAGAGAAGGCGGCTGTTGATGAAAGTCTGCAACCTGTTGGAAATCCTCTTCGTTACACACAGTGCAAGTTTCTGACCCATATAGAAGAACTGACTCGACATTGGTGTTGAAAATCAGAATCTTGTTCCTTATGCTATGGAGTGCAGAAGATTTCCAAACTGATTTCACATTGGTGAAGGTGTATCTTGACTTTCCGATTCTGGCTAGCTTTGACATTTTCATCCGTTCCGCTGGCTGTGGTTGAAACGATGCTTCCTAGATAAGTGAAGGAGGTAACCTCTGTGAGATCTTTCCCGTTGATGGTTACTTGTGCTGGTTGTTGTTGATGTTGGTTGGTTATCTTCAACACCTCCGTCTTCTCTGTGTTCACCTGGAGTCCTGTTTTCGCTTCCAGCTTCTTCAGCCAGTCTGTTGGTTTTCGTCTGTAAGTCTTCGAGTTTGTGTGACACTGGACATATATCATCTGCGAAACCCAGATCTTCTAGAGTCCTCTTATCGATGGTCCAGCGTATTCCTGACTCCTCACCCCTCACAGTCTGACACATTATCCAGTCCTTCACAATCAGGAATATCATAGTAGGTGATAGCAGATAGCCAGCCTTGTCTTACTCCTGTATCAACTTCGATCGCTTCACTGAGTTTTCTGCTGTGTCATATAGCTGTTGAATGAGGTTAATGAATACTTGAATAGTGAATGCCACAGTGTTGAAGTAGTTTCCAAATTACTTCTCGGTCAACTCTGTCGAAGACCTTCTCGAAGTCAATGAAGTTGAGGTACAGAGAGGTTTGACTACCATTCTACGCTTTCTTTGATGATGATGATGATGGGTTGAGCTGTAATTTGACCAGCACACAATTTGCCTCTCCTGAATCCAGTTTGTTCCGGTTGGCGGAGTTTTGTATCCAATGCATCCTTTATTCGTATTACCATCACTCAATGGTTATTTATTGTGCTCTTAACCAAACGCAAATACTTATTAAGAGTCACCGGCACAAATATCCAGTTTACATTTTAACACTACTGGTGGTTTTTCTTTTGTCTTTGAAATTTCAGGAAGCTACACCTGGACGTACTAAACATCTTGTATTTTATAAAGAATCAAAAGCATTTGACATTGCTTTCAAAGTTTTTGAATTTTGGTTAAGTGATAAAATGCGTCAACGAGTGAGTTACTGAATGAGTTTGTGTGTTTTATCTTCTTTTATCTGTATTAGTTTATCCATATAAAAGAATGTAAATCTACATAATTCACAAATCAATAGTCCCCTGGGAATTAACCTCATTTTTCAATAATCAATATTCGCCCAATAATTTCTTTAGTAGCTTTACAATCGAAACGGTTTGACTAACTGAATGACTTTAGGAAAACAAAATTGGTGATTGAAATTCTGAAGTAACAGTCTTTAGAAGCCTTAAAAAGTCAAATTTACTAGTGTTGAGTATGTAACTCTTTGAGGCAGTTTAGACAGGATGTTAAGCGGAAAAAAATGTCAGCAGAGGGAAGACTTAATATCCCACCAAATATTTCAATAGGGTTTATTTAAATTAACCATCACTAATATATGATATCAGTAGTGGTACATAGGTACGAATGAAAACGACCATATCGTCTGTTCACTAACAATTATTGGCGACATATCTCTGAAATAACAGCTAGAATACTGAAACCGTTTGATATAGATATAGCACACAAGCCAATCAAATCGCTTAATTCGATATTATGCAAACCGAAAGAACCAACAGAAAAAGGGGATAAAATTAATAAAAAGGTGTCGAAGAAAAGGCACTATGACAGAAGACAACAGGATGGTAGAGGTTTTCTGCAAAGTAAAGCTTATTCGGTGAAAGGAAGTAGGATTTCTACAAATTGTTCACCTTATTTCGTTACTATCACTTTTCAGTTATTAAGTTTCCAGTGTCTTATCCCATGATTCACAAATATAATATGCATAAACCATAATAATAAGACAAACCAAAGTAATGCCTTTTATCGGAAAGAAATAACTCCTAAGCTTTTTTAGAAAATCGTCAAACGTTCTTACCACTTATTAAATGTTCTCAGTACTTGTTCATATTTCTTCTTTTTGAAAAAAATAGATTTTAAGGGTTAAAGACGATGTTGAAAAGGCTTTCAAGAAAATACCTGGTTTGAAAAATATACTACCCGAGGAGTATGGTGGACAAAATGGTCCCATTCAAAAAATAATCGGTGAGTCACCCCCCATTAACTTTTAGCCTTAATTTTAATCATTCAAAGCCTTAAGAAATGAAATCCCTGATACATTTTGGAGAGTATTACCAGCCTGACTTTTCTTTGAATATTTTTCTGTTCTCATGTACAAGCGTTACACACCTTTTCATGTATTTTTTAACATACCTTAGGAACTTGCCCAAAGTTTGTCAAAGTTATACACGTTTAGCATCTCACTAACTAAAATTTTCATTGAATTTATAATGTAATTTTTTAGACATATTTAAGACTTTCTGTTATTAAATAAGAAGTTGTGTAATAATTACCAGGTCAGTATTTAAGCAAATAATAATTTTTGAGTCTAATTCGAAAATTTTCAAATTCATTAGCAGTTTACCTAGTTCGAGGTGAATTTTCACCACAATTTCCTTAGGAAGGCTAAATATTCCGATTACAGTAAGTGATCTGCTTGAAAACATAAATGGCTATCAAGAAAGTAATCAAAATTGCATAATGCTCCATACTACTGATTAGTTGATACGAGTAGGAAGAGTAAACTGTCACGAAATTTCACCTCTAACTGTGTAAATTGCAAATCGTGTATTCGATCCAATGTACCACCAGTTTTCTCAAGTACCTATCCAAATTCAGGTGGTTTGAACTGATTCTCCTGAGTCAAATCGGCTACACCGCTAATGAGCTTGACGCCAAACGAGTGAAATGACTGACTGGTGTTTAAATGACTTCGGTCTGGCTAGCAAACACTACTGATTGGTGACAGTGGAATCCAGCTACTCAAATCAATCACGCAAAAAATAATTTCCGCTAATCAATAGCTAAGTGAGGTCGTGTGAGTGTATCAGAATTGATTTCACTTCGTTCGTGATCTAACTTGAGAATGTTTCACTGTGATAACTTTGACTATGGTTGAAATAAAAGTCACTACGCTCGCCAAACATGCACATTGTCCGGGGTTCGATCCCCGGCCACAGACGCACTCCCAAACCTCGCTAAGCCAGAAATAACGCTGGTGAAGAGGAAAGGTTGGACATGAGGCTAGCAACCCCATCCTGTAAAATAAACACTGCTACAGAGATTTCAAGCCACTAGCTTGAAGCCCTATGTTCCACTGGGAACGTGAAGGAAAAAAACGGATCGCTGCATATCCACCTGTATTTGACCTTCTAGTACGGCCTTCATAGTGTGTACATCTAGGTTTTAGTACTGAATGCTTATTAAGGTTTCGTTTTAGGGTTTTGGAACCTACCTAGATTACAATAATTAACGGATAACTGATGAGATATACATCGAATATCTTTATATCTCTCCATAACAGTTTCATTATATGTTGGCTAGAAGTAAAATGCTTAAGCCGACTACTAATAATAGGCAACTGGTATCCCCAATAAATCAAAATAAGTCGCAGATTAAGCAAAGGGACTGAAGTAATCGAATGAGTCGATCACTTCACTTTTAATGGAATAACTGCCACGTTTGCAGCCGGTGAGATTTCCAACTGTCAATTAAAAGGTAAGCGAGCATGAATAAAGTAAAAACAATGGTTTGATGCAGAGTAAAATGTCACCATCATTTATTTCGCCGTCTTCTCACCTACTCTAGACAACCTAAAAATTTAATTAAATTTATGTACAAAGAAGCTTTAACGAACTTGCAAAGATGATATGATGTCATTCAACAAGAAACTCTAAAATATAAAAAAAACACTGCTCAGAAATTACACACATAACAAAACAAAACCAAAATATACCAAATGATTGGATAGAGTTAAGAAACAGTTACGTAACAAGGACAGTGAGGTGGATAAGTTGATGATAAGTAACTAATAAGTCATGTAACAATAAGACGAGTTCATTCCAAATCATAGAAACAAAATTACATTATAGCAAAGGGGCAAAGAGGTCAGAGCCAAAGACTACATGACCAAACTAAAAGGGACAGTAAAGGTAGAACTACCAAGGCAAAGAAAGACTGATGACTGCTTCTTTCTGAACATACAAATCAGGTCTTAGGGGCCTGATAGTAAAGAATGGTTACTGAACAAAGAATACTCTTTTCGATAACTTCATCATCAGGTTTTACAGTTATATATACATCATAGTGAATGAATTAGTGTCATTAACAACAATAATGTTGTTTAAATAACATCGAATCAATAATATCAATAGATCACAGTTCAATAGCATCAACATAACAATACACTGAATGTCAGAAAAATTAGGAAAGATAATAATACAAACTCATGAATTTATAGTCTCTACTGAAGGCCAGGGCAGTAGTAGGGGCTGGACTTGCTTCTTTTGCACACAAAGCACTGGTTGTTTCACGTGAATCGCGATAGCCTCTGTTGTTTGGAGCAGTTTGCAATTTATTCGGTACCTGGTAGATGATAGAGAAGGATTCTTCAATGTTGCCTTTGTGGCCGGTTTCGACCAGGTGGTCTAATATCGAACTTGGGTTTAAAATCAAGTTTCGAAGTCGTGTGATCATAATTGATATGATTATGAACAACAAATTTTTTTCAAAACGTCATCCACTTAATAATACTGTTTCACTGTGTGATATATCTAATAAACAAACTAATATGGAATAAGAGGTGTAGTTTGCCATCATTAAAAGTTCTTTGAACTGATTTTCTTAATTTCTTCGTAATTGTTTCGCTTGGTATATTGCCCTTGAATTGCAGTCGTATGTATAAAGGCTTCTCGTTTATAGATAGTGAGTAGTCTTTTTCCGCTTTCTTTGTCATGTGTTTCTTCGTAAATTTGTCTGGGTAGCCGTTTCCAGTCAACGTTTCATATACAAAACTTAGTTCATCTTCACTTACTTCTTCTGAGCATATAGCTCTAACCCTGTGGCTGAGAGTCTTTACTAAATTTCTCTTGTACTGCAGAGGAACAAAGCTATGAAAATGTGTAAATTGTCCAGTCCATGTACCTTTCCTATTCAAATTTCTCTTTACGCTACTATCTGGTTTTCTTGTAAGGAGTACATCCAGGAAAAAAATTATTGTTATAGTTTGTACGATCACTAGTAAGTATTTACTTTGTCACATTAAGACTTTACCAACCAAAAATAATGAGACATAATATACCTAAATGAATGTGCACACTGAACTGAGGTTACTGGTGAAAAAACTTTAGACAGCATACCAGTTATAATCTTAAATGTGACTTTTAGCTAATTGTGTTGGTGAATACAGTTCGACTGTATATGAATGAAACCGTTTCTGAGATCAAATATACATCTAGCTGATTACGGGTTTAAAATGATAAAAAGTCAGCCCATAAATAACCTCCCATTCTGACACCATTGACTTAGTTACATATGCAGTAAAACTAAGAAATTTTCATGAAAACTGTCACTTTTCTTCCATTATACCTTAAATATACTTTTCTTTTCTTTTTTCCTAAAGCTGCAGATAAGGAAAATTTCAAAGAATTTTACTCACGAAAATGTATTTTAAGTGAAATTCAAGTAGATGAATCTAAACGTCCACTTTCTGCTCAGAATTATCTGCGTGAATATAGTGATATTGAAGGCTTGACAATGGGAAATCAAGGCACATTCATACCAATCATTCCTGATGATTAAGTCTATTCACTTGTGTTTTTTTTATTAATCACTAATTAAAATAAATAATCCAGGAATTTTCCTTTTCCTTTTGAATCTTTTAGTTTCCCTGTACTTCTGTTACTATAAAAAGAATAACTTCCTTTCATAATGTGTATTATTATTATTGTTACTGCATTCCATACTTTTTCACATATTCCTCCTGCCTTAGAAAATAGATAGTCTTCCCTTTTTAATACTTAAATATACCTATGCTTGAAAAGACATGTATACTCACTCAGGTTTCCACGGTGTCATACTGTACATGTTACGGCATCATTGCCTTTGCCACTGTTCTTGTTTTTGTTTTTCAATCAATTTTTTTCTTGCTCTTTGCGATGACTGAAATAAATGACTAGTTGAATTTTTGCTTCACTAGAACTGTTCAACATTCAGTGTGCTTTAATGTGCACATTGTGTACTGAACAGTTAAAAAAATATCACAATCATATCTGTAGGTTGAATTTAACTGTGTTTACATCTCTATTACGATCAATATATATAGTAAAACAATGAAAATATATTATTCAAAGTAACAAGAATTCAAGGATTTATATGTATTCATGCCTACTTGAACTAGTAGCCAAATGAGTTTAAGAATATACGGTTAAAAGTCATTTGTTACGTTGTCGTCTTTAAAAGCAACTCAATTAAAAACTGGTGCGAAAATTATACTGGAAATGTAGTCTAATCTTTCAAAATATCAAGTGCTGTCCAACTAAGTAACGACACCTCATAGTTTGTTGAAATCCTCTGCAACCTATAGGTAGACATCTGTTTGTTGGCAGCTCACTAGAGACGGCCGACGACGAAATACTACAGTAACAGTTATATTTTAAGTTGGTAGACATCTGGTTATCAGTGTTGGTACCTGGTCTTTGGTACTTATCAGAACCATTAGTCAGATGTGCGTTAAGTCACTAAGCTAAGAGACAGGTTTAATATGAAACTGAATAGCATCACAGTACAAATCAATATAAATTCATTTAGCTTTGCGACTATATTTCACACCGAACTAAAAGGTTAGGATTAACACTGATTATCATCCAACAGCCGACTGAAAAACATAATCCAAGATAAGAAAATAGTAGTTGTAGCGATAAACAATTTTCCAAAATTATTCACCTGCAGTTTCCACCATTAAACAACAGGTATTGCTCTTCACTGTTTAATTCAACTGATTATGATGAAGGTATGCTGTGGTGCACCTATTTCATTTGGCACGCTTTCCTGTTACATTCGGTCAGTGAAGCATATATCATTAATCAGCAGCATTTATATCCAGAGAAATACATACGACTGGGGGCCGAAGAATTAAAGACATGTAGGACTCAGTGTATGCATCAAAACATGAGCATATAAAATGCCACAGGTGCCTTTTTGTTGTGATAAACATTCCAAAGAGTATCTGTCACAGATGATGCTTATGATTTGAAAAGCATCGCCTCATGTCTTTGTTTGGGTAGGGAAGTAACGGGGCACTAAGCCCATTTAGAAAATGGTGGCAGTGGCAAAAGATATTGCTATGTGATGATCCATCTTAAGAGCTAATAATATTACTCGACATCATGAGTTGTTTTTGTTGAATTAAACCAAAGTAAACACATGGTACCAAGCCGATGGTAGACTTACAAAACATTGACACCAGCTAACTTTGACTGTAGCCACCAGTGCGGTATTTGAAAAGTTAGATGAGGCACTTAGTGACGAGACGTTACCCTCTATCTGCAAAGCACTACAGAAATAATTGATATCAGTTTTACAAGAACAACGAGGTTCCAAAGGACTTTAGAATTTATAAAAGTTATAAATTAATCCAAACATCGCTGTGTTTAAGAAACGTTGCATTATTCACTAACCATGCTATTTCCACCAATAATTCAGCATTGCACATATTCATTTCCCCAAACAAATGTGATGTGAGCTACTGGGGAGGTTTGGTAAATAGTATTTTATATGTGAATATGTGTGACAGCGGCGGAATGCTCGCCAAACATGCATACGGTCTGTGGTTCGATCCCCGGCCGACGCATTCATGAACCTCACTTAAATGGTAGTGAGCCTGGTAAAGATGTAAGGTTGGGCGTGAAGCTAGCGACCCAACTCCGTAAAAAAGAACAACACCACTGCTGCTGAAACATCAAAGCACAAGGTCCTACTGGGAACATAAAGGGATAAAAAATCTATTGTGCGGAATGTCTTCTGGAAGAATGTTGAATTGAGGAGGGATGGACTAAATTGCAATGAGGGAAAAAAAAGAAAGCATAACAGGAAGACCAGAGAACTACAGTACGGAGAAAGTGAGCAAATGGAAATTTCAGTGTAAGGTTTCTGTATTTTGCCATAAGTGCACATCATTTTCCCTAGGGACTACTCTATTATCAGATACTATCTGCTTCTATACAGATATCTTCAACCGATGTCTTCTATAGTTTTTAATGCCAACACAAAGACCTCAGACAGATTTATGCCAAAATGCTAATATATGCAGATTTTCAACCCCACATCGTATGCATCGTTGTACTTTCAGCTGCATATTGTACAATATTTTGTCATCAGTTCTCAGGAGACAGAATAGATTCCAATATGGGTGAGTGATTTTGAGTTATTAAATGAAATGATGGTGTAGCGGTAAATAATTCCCCAAAATTATTAACCACAGCACTCATCACTGAACATTGGATGCTAACCTTCACTGTTTGAGTCAACCTGTTTAGCTGAAGGCTTCCGGTCAAACATCCACGCCATTTGGTACTCCGTCGTGTCACGTTCGTTAGTTCGTTCGCTCGTGCACGATTCCTAGCTAGCTAAGCAATCATCTCGCACTCCGATTTGGTCCCGAAATATATCTCGCAATTTGGACGATGACTTATTGGTTTGCTTTGCCTTTGGTCTACGCAGAATGAATACTATAGAAGTTGTGGGTATTAGATCTTGCGTTGGTATACTTCGTACTATCCGTGAACGTCAATGCCATCAGCCTCTAAAATGGTATGTCAAGGATTCAGAACCACGCTTATATTTAGGATAGCCTTATCAATCTCTGATTCACTCTCATCCGTCAGCAACCTAAACACTAAACAAGCGGTATTTTTACCCATCATACCAAGTTTTATCATATTTTTGTATCAAGGCTCTGTCAAGCAGCGGTTAGTAATTTTAGCCTCAACACTTCAAGAAGCTAATTTTAACAGCGAAAGTCATTACCTAACTGGTTAGAAAATATTGCTGTTCTACCTAAACTCCCGTTAGGCTACATGAAACCGCCTGCAAATGCAAAATCGCTGATTCTAAATAATCTACACTTTACATTCAAAATGAAATTTTTTACCATAAGTCCTTGCTAACAAAATTGGTTTCATATATATATATATATATATATATATATACTGGGATAAACTGAATAGAGGCAGTATCCTCTGGACCTACAATCAATTTTATTCTTTGTTAAAAGTAGTGTTGTAGCGTGTGCTTCTGATAAGATTTGACAGCAACATATAAAGAGACGTTCATTGACACAAAACATCAAATAGCAGGGAGATGGATTTGTTGTCAGGGAAAGCAAATAATACAGCGTTTCAGAGGTACATGGGAGACGTGAAAGCATGACAAAGAAGTAGCAAAGCACTGAAGATCTGTGCGAATGATGTATCGAAGATAAGGTGTACATAGTTTGGCTATATTGAGAAACCAAATTGCGAAAGAACAGTCCTTTATCAATTCTCTCGTCTTCTAACGCAACAGTATGTCTCACTCGTACTGAGTACATGATCGAATGATGGGTTTATCACCAACCTCACAATTATGAGTGGTTTTATGATATATCATTACAACGACGCCTATTGTAGCATTGTCATTTTCATGCAATGGCATAATTAATACATTATTGAGATATCTGATATTAATTCATGAAATGGTAATATTATTGTGAGGTGTTTGTCGGAATGGGATCAGAAGTCTTGATAGTCTGTGACAGTAAACGTTACTTCATAGTAGCATTTAGACTTCAGACTTCAAACTCAACCGTCTAAACTCACATGTTTATTTTAACTTTTTTTAATATAACTTGAAACCACACATTATTTTTGGTGCAAGTATAGGATTTTCAGCATATGATATCGGTAGCCTAAATTTTGCAGGCCGACCATAGATATCAGGTGTGCGTCGGGAGGGGATCGAGCGCCGGACCATGTGCATGGTCGGCGAGAGTCCTAACCGCTGTGTTACCAACGCATATGATTTTATGCCACTTTATGAGACCTGTTAAATCAGGAATTGTTGTGTTTAACTTTTATCCAAGTGATGCTCACCTTATTATTAGTGTTCTCTTGGTTCCGAGTAAAACATAGGGCTTCAACGACACACCTCCGTTTTGTTCTATTTCCTAGGACTGACCATAATCTCTCATCTCCACCTTGCACTGTCTTCCCCTTTTCACCCTCAGACGATCCCCTCGTTTCCCATCCGGCTTTCACTCAGGCGATGGCCTGCATTGCGCGATATCGTTCAACCATCTCCTCAGTGTGTGTCCAATCCACTTACTTCTTCATGTTTGTTGAACGATAGTTTCCTGGTCAGTCTGTCCCCATAGTTTCTTTCTACTAATTCTTTGTGGCCATTCAATCTTCAATAAAGAGTGAAGCCAGCTGTTGATAAAAGTCCTCAATCCCTCGGAAATCCTTCTCGTGAAACAAAGTAGTAATTGGTCCTGGTTGTTGTTACTGCTGGTTGGCTATCTTCATCACCTCCGCCTTCTCTATTTTCACCTGGAGTCCTATGTTTGACATTTGCCTTCTCAGCCAGTTTGCTGGTTTTCGCCTGCAATTCTTCGAGTTTGTGTGTTATTGGACATATATCATCTGCGAAACCCAGATCTTCTAGAGTCCTCTTATCGGTGGCCCAGCGTATTCCTGACCCCTTGCCCCCAACAGTCTGACGCATACTCCAGTTCACCACAACTAAGAATATCACCAGTGACAATAGACAGCCAGCTTGTCTTGCTCCTGTATTCACTTCAAACGCCTCGTTGAGTTTTCGTTGTGGATCATTTAACACATGGCATTGAATGAGGCTGAAAAAGACCTGAGGTACACCATGGTATTGAAGTAGTTTCGAAACTACTTCTCGGTCAACTCTATCGAAGGCCTTCTCGAAGTTGGTGAATATGAGTTAGAGGTTTGACTGAGAGTTCATGCCTTGTTCGATGATGGGTAGAGCTTGAATTTGATCAGCACATGATCTGTCTTTCCTGAATCCAGCTTGTTCGGGACTGGCGGAGTTCTGTATCCATTGTATCCTCTATTCTCTCCAGAATGATGCGACTTAGTAGCCATAAACATCTACTGAAACACTCGTGAACGACAAATATGGACATAAGTGATGAAACGAAGCTCCACAGAAATCACTGAAACGCCACAAACAGGAGGATTTTAGGTGCACCCTATAATTTTCACGTGAAACACATTCTCAAGCATCTTCTTGCACCATAACTGCCTTCAGGCCTAGAGGCAGCTTTTGACGACTATTCTTAACAAAATCAATACAGTTCAAGCCAAACAGAAACCAGAATCACGTCAAATGCAGCTACCTAGATCAAACGAAACAAATC